ATTCAAGCGTTTAATTGGTCTAAAAATAACTTTGGCTAAATTCACTTCAGCCCCAAACTAGGTTGCGTCAGTTCTCTCTCTCTCCCATAATTCCTTCTTGTTTGACTGTGTTGATGAAATAGAGTTCATTAGTTTATGATTGGGAGGTGCTACAATCTTCCAACCCAACTGCCACCCTGAAATACCCCCCCCCCCCCCATTAACACACATAACATTCTCACAAAACAATAAAAGAAGACGAACAAAAAAAAGGAGTTTGTGTGAAGGGGGAAAGGTGGTTTTTTGGGGGGGGGGGGGGGGAGTTCAGGGTGGCAGTTGGGTTGGATGATTGTTGCACCTCCCAATCATAAACTAATGAACTCTATTTCAACCACACAGTCAAACAAGACGGAATTATGGGAGAGAGAGGGAACTGACGCAGCCTAGTTTGGGGCTGAAGTGAATTTAGCCAAAGTTATTTTTAGACCAATTAAACGCTTGAATTGATCGAAAGTTGGTTTCCTGAGAGGACCGCAAACTTTCATTCGGTGTTGTCAAGAGAGAATTCAACAGTCACCATTACAATATTCTGCCTTTTTCGCTCTGAAACGGTAGCGCGTGGTCTTGATGACGTATCTCTGCTAACGCCCTACGATTCCTTCTCTTTCCAATCATTCTGTCTTGAGCCACTCATCAGGACTAAAACACTACTTCTTTACAAAAACGACTGAAGTATATTATTGCTGTAACAAAACCTGATTAGACGGAGAGCTCCACACAAGTGCATGCCGTGTATAATGGAAAGGGTTTGTATGGTTAGACTGGGAACTAAAAAGTAGGACATTGCATGCTAGGATAAAGTATAATTAAATTGCTAATCCATCGCTAATCTAATCCAACGCGTATCATTAGGAAACACTTTTGGTTGAAAATTTTGTACACAATTAGGTAAATCATTTTATAAATTACGAAGAGGAACGTACCTAGTATCGTTCCATGAGGAACACCGCAAGTCGTTTTCCAACAATCGGAGACGGATCGAGCCATAAACAAAATATCTGAGTAGGAATTAATTGCTAGCTATGTGAAATACCATCAATACCGTAATATTTCAATTTCGATAAAAGAATCGGCAGATTAAAAAATGACAACGCGACGGAAGTGACGACGGCGCACGAAGATCAAGAAATGAGCCTGAATAATGGTAATACAGGGAATTAAGCACCGGAAATCGCGTTAAAAAAATACCGTAAAGTTCCGAAAGTAACGACCCTCGTTACTTTCTGATTTAGCAGCCTTTTCTATCGCTACTTTCGGAGTCGCTACTTTCCGGTAGCTGAAACGTGTATCGTACATGGGTGGTACGAAGTGACGATAATAATATCGCGACAATTGTGAAAACATTCACACTTTTTATTTGGAGAAAAGTATTTCATGTTATTGGTTTTTAAATATATAATCAAAAGATGTCTTTGATTACGTTGTGGATATTCACAGACGAAAGGAAGACTTTTAGAAGAAAAAAATAATGTAATGTACCTTTTAAGTTACATAAAGAAATGTCAAAGATCATTATAACCATTAAAGAATAAATCTATAATTTCAGTTATTTCTAGCAAGAAGCTAAAGTCGCTACTTTCGGAGGTTCGCGACTTTTGGAATTTGCCAACACAATTTTCCGCTACTTTCGGAAGGTCTTTATTTTGGGAATTTAACGGTAGTAGGATAGTTTAATTTTTACTTTAAACGCGTTACTATTTCAGTGTGGACGTTTCTACGGCTAAGTATTTAACGTTAACTTTATTTGAATACAAACAGGAAAAATTGTTGGCGAGCCTGTCAATATGGTCGAATGATTGTACCTTATCAAGAATGCGGAGACGAGCATCTAATGATGAAGAATTTGTCCAAGTATTTTCGCCACAAGTTTGCTATCAGTCATAAATGCTCAGATCCTGATATGCTCAAGAACGTGACCTTTGAGGTGTTCAAGATCGAAAACGTACCATCTTTCAAAGATTCAGTGGACAAGAAGAATCGGTTGATTCATCAGGCAATCCAGAAAGGCGATCGTTATAGTGGTATGTCTTAAGTTATATATTGTGAACATTTCGTGGACACCCTCCGAGACGGGGGCACCCAACGAGAACATAGTTCAAAACCACTTAAACAAGTAGTATAGGAGGGACCGGTTAGGCCCTTTTTTTGCGCAGGAATCTCATTAACGTATTTTAGTATTTAAACGGTAGATATAGGCATATTTTTATCCCCTAAAAATTTTTCATCTGTTCGGATTTCCTAGCTGAAAGTCTCAAAATCCGAAAATCATAGTGATCAAAACTTACCTTTTCGAAAATTTCAGCCAGAAAAAAGGCTCCCGAAAATTCTAGGTGAGCTTTTTAGGGTAAAAATCCGTTAAAAATGGTCAGTTTTTTTAGATGTTTGAAAATCCTAGGAGAGGTAGGCCTGCAAGAAATTTTACAAAAAATGTTCCGAAAATTCTAGATCTCAAATCGTCTTCCGAACAGATATTTTCCGAAAATTGACGTTGGGTGCCCCTGCCGAGAGGCGCAAGCTTAACTGCTTGGAATTGCACCTCTCCAAGCATGCGTGGAAAATTATAAATGACTGAAGACTATTACTTGTAATGTAAACGACCATCGGTAATGTTCAACGTCCAGCGATCATAGCGAAAAAAAGCAAATTCTGAGACGCGCCTAAAGTCTTGCTGGCACGGTCCTGATGGTTTTAAAAATGACTGACATGCACGTAAATCCACATGCAGCAAAGGGGAAAATACAGCGCAGTTCTGAATTAGCATACAGTAATTTCACTACAGAGCCCTTCCATATATCAGTCCCCCTAATGAATGGACTAGATCTCACTTGCCTTTTATATATTTTCTTGTAAGGATTCCAATCAAATGAACCATTCACCGTCCGCGCGCACAAGGTTGAACTTGTTACTGACGTGTTGCATGGGTGTTACCGCAAAAAGTATAAAGTTGTAGATGGATCGGGTGATGCTCTTGTGATAAAAGTCACAAATAACGAGAAATTCTTGGTTCACGTGTGTGTGATGTCATATCAGGCTGATGGCTCTATTGTTGTTGGCAGCTAGTGAAGTCCGACGCGTAGTTATGACCGGAGAGGTTAGTTGAGAGGAGTGTTGGGGGGGAGGGGTGGGGCGGGGGCGGGGGGGGGGGGGGGGGGGGGGGGGGGGGGGGGTGGGGGGTGGGGGGGAAACAGAGGGAGGGTCACAACTTTTTGAGACTGCAGAAAAGGGAGGGGTCATGAAAAATGGGTCGTTAAAAGGGGGAGGGTCATGCAAATATGTTTCAGTGATCATGTAGAGGTTCACCCACAGAAGAAAAAAGAAGTTCTTTATTGTGTAAAAATACTGGGAGAAATAGGAGAGTTGAGTGATGTGCTGTCAGAATCAGAGTCGGACTCTTAATGCTGTCATCTAAAATGTATGTATATGGCATTACAAAGAACAGATTAGAAATACATTTTGAGCTTTCATAATACTGACTCACCCCAGTGTATTGCAAGAACTAGATTTTATCATTTATACAAGAGGGAGAGGATCATGATATTTTAGGCCCAGGTCAAGGGGAGGGTTAGCAAATTTCACTCCCATTGCAGGGATGGGTCACCTCATTTACGAACCCAAATTTAAAATTCCCACCCCCTCCCCCTCCTGCTAATTTCTGACAAGTCCCTTAGGTAAATCATTTTATAAATTACGAATAGGAACGTACCAAGTATCGTTCCATGAGGAACACCGCAAGTCCTTTTCCAGCAATCGGAGACGGATCGAGCCATAAACAAAATATCTGAACAGGAATTAACTACCAGCTATGTGAAATACCATCAATACCGTAATATTTCAATTTCGATAAAAGAATCGGCAGATTAAAAAATGACAACGCGACGGAAGTGACGACGACGCACGAAGATCAAGAAACGAGCCTGAATAATGGTAGTACAGGGAATTAAGCACCGGAAATCGCGTTAAAAAAATGCCGTAAAGTTCCGAAAGCAACGACCCTCGTTACTTTCTGATTTAGCAGCCTTTTCTATCGCTACTTTCGGAGTCGCTACTTTCTGGTAGCTGAAACGTGTATCGTATATGGGTGGTGCGAAGTTACGATAATAATATCGCGACAATTGTGAAAACATTCGCACTTTTTATTTGGAGAAAAGTATTTCATGTTATTGGTTTTTAAATGTATAATCAAAAGATGTCTTTGATTACGTTGTGGATATTTAGAGACGAAAGGAAGACTTTTTGAAGAAAAAAAAAGATGTAATGTACCTTTTGAGTTACATAAAGAAATGCCAAAGATCATTATAACCATTAAAGAATAAATCTATAATTTGTGTTATTTCTAGCAAGAAGCTGAAGTCGCTACTTTCGGAGGTTCGCGACTTTTGGAATTTGCCAACACAATTTATCGCTACTTTCGGAAGGTCTTTATTTTGGGAATTTAACGGTAGTAGGATAGTTTAATTTTACCTTAAACGCGTTACTATTTCAGTGTGGACGTTTCTACGGCTAAGTATTTAACGTTAACTTTATTTGAATACAAATAGGAAAAATTGTTGGCGAGCCTGTCAATATGGTCGAATGATTGTACCTTATCAAGAATTCGGAGACGAGCATCTAATGATGAGGAATTTGTCCAAGTATTTTCGCCACAAGTTTGCTATCAGTCCTAAATGCTCAGATCCCGATATGCTCAAGAACGTGACCTTTGAGGTGTTCAAGATTGAAAAGGTACCATCTTTCAAAGATTCAGTGGACAAGAAGAGTCTGTTGATTCATCAGGCAATCGAGAAAGGCGATCTTTATGGTGGTATGTCTTAAGTTATATATTGTGAACATTTCGTGGACACCCTCCGAGAGGCGCAAGCTTACCTCTCCAAGCATGCCTGGAAAATTGTAAATGACTAAAGACTATTACTTGTAATGTAGTCGACCACCGGTAATGTTCAACGTCCAGCGATCCTAGCGAAAAAAAGCCAATTCTGGGACGTGCCTAAAGTCTTGCTGGCACGGTCCTGATGGTTTTAAAAATGACTGACATGCGCGTAAATCCCCATGCAGCAAAGGCGTTCACTACAGAGCCCTTCCATATATTAGTCCCCCGAATGAATGGACTAGATCTCACTTGCCTTTTATATATTTTCTTGTAAGGATTCCAATCAAATGAACCATTCACCGTCCGCGCGCACAAGGTTGAACTTGTTACTGACGTGTTGCATGGGTGTCACCGCAAAAAGTATAAAGTTGTAGATGGATCGGGTGATGCTCTTGTGATAAAAGTCACAAATAACGAGAAATTCTTGGTTCACGTGTGTGTGATGTCATATCAGGCTGATGGCTCTATTGTTGTCTTGTATCCGCCAAAAAACGTAAGTAATCAATGATTCAGTGTACGCTAATATGATGCTTTTGCTGCAGCTGTTCACCTTAATAAAAATTTGAAAAGATTTATTTGGTTTGTATTTATTTTGATTTTGTGACTTGTTTAAGCCATGCTATGCTTACATAGTGTAAATTCAACACATTACTGTGAGAGTCATTAGTTTAACTCAGTTCCACTATGAAGTAAATCCAATCAGTGTTCAGAATGGAACTTGACCCGCAGATCTCCGGTTTGCAAGACCGCATGTCGTTCGTTTCATTTTCGAAACAAAAATTTCGATCTTATGCAAACTGACTCACGGGAGGAAATTTGGACCACCAGGCTTTGTGAACCATCTCGCTTTTAGTAAATCAATGCATGAATACGGCGATCAATAGCACCGGGGGACTGGCGGCCGAGCAGTCTCTGGTTAGCGGACTGGCAATCGAGCCGGGTGCAAATGATAACATGTCAAACCTATTGTAGTTTTAAAGACGGTTCCTTTCCTTAGAGACGGCTCGTACCCGAGGTCAGCCCAGGTTTAAACCTTTGTTTATTGTTAAATTATGAAGGGGCCAAATTGACTAAGCTACTTACTATTCTGATCTTTTATGCTATTTCAAAGGGTAAAACGGAGGAGCTGTATGAGGGCGAGTCAGCTAAGGCGATCAAAAGAGTTTTCGTCGAGCCTCAGACAGTCCGTCGCATGACTGAACCAGATTTTGACAAGCCGAAACCCAAGTGGTGCGATGATATTCTGATATTGTATGCCACAAAAAAGAAGGCCGACTACAAGCCTCTCACACAGACTGCAATTGATCTCAGTGCAGGACTCAGTACAAGAGGCCACAACCCACCTGATGTACGTTTTTTTTTCGCCTTTCAATTCACGTAAAGTTTCTATGATTAAGAGTCACGTTTACGGCAAACGGAAAACGTGAATTTGTACCACGTGACCAAGTTTTCCCTTCACTTGTGTTTTGCTGATGTTTCTAGCCCAGAATTAGTTATTTAACGTTTCTTTTGTCCGCTATAACAATTGTTTTGGCCTGTTTTTTGTTCTACGTAAAGACAAAATTCTTTAAGAGTTGAACTTAGACTGCAAACCGCAAACGGCATTTGCAGTGAGATTTAGAGAGATTACACTTTGTATGACAAACGTCATACCAGATCATAGTACGTCATTCAAACAGGTCCTCAAAGATGCGAACTAGCAGCACATGTATGGAAGACTAACGACACGCTTCACTCAAGACTTAGACATAAGTAGTATTGTATGATAATGATTTAATATCCATATTTCCGTTCCGAGTTAGTCCAGTCCCTTAGTCCCGGTTAGTCAGCTTTTCTCTGCGATAAGTTACAAAATAGACGATAATTTTCCTGCTTGTTATATTAGTAATTGACGCGCAAAGGATATAGAAACTGGTCTTCGATGCTCAAACTCTGGGCATTCAGAATTCTAACAGGGGAACTTGCTTTGTTTACACGGGTTTTCCTGCCCGGCATTTCCCTTCCCAAAATTAGCATTAATTTTCACTTGTCGTACTTACCTTCTTCAGGTAAAATGTTTAAAAAAAACATCCTCATTCATAAGCTGCGAGCGGGTAATTAGAATTTATCTATAAAGTTATGTCGTTTTAGGAGAAAGCATTCTTTGATTTTTATAGGACAAAATGCTTCCCCCTGTAACAGCCTTCAGAGACGCTCCCAGTTCGCCATCATCCTTTACAACTCAATCAGCTGGCAGCAGCCGTGGCGCGGCGGCGGATTACTCCTCTAATTACCATGATCACAGGTGGTTGACTATCAGACGGGATGTTAGAATTCTGTGCGATGAGGATTAGGTGACCCAAACAAGAAAAATACTTAAGAATATAATTTTGTTAATGTTAAAAATAATTACAGGTCATGATCCATTGAGACAGGTGCTATAGCCAACGACCACAGAATCGAGCCTAAAAACTATTTTGACATCTGAGAAAAACTGATAAACAATTTACAACAACAAAGAAAACTTTCACTAAAAATAAAGAACTATCTGATAATTGTAATTTCCATCCATTAATGAATTAAATTAGGCATCGTGAGTAACGAAATCAGTACTGAGGCATACAGTTGTAATTGGTTTTCAAAAACCGAAAACAAACAGTGTTAGACGTCAGTAACTAGTTAAAAGTCAAAAAGTGCCTTAACTTTACAACAATGATACTAATTTTGGAGGCAATAAACAAGGCACGTAAATCGAAGGCCAGCGAAGCTTGATTAGAAATGAAAGGCAAATTGCGGTGACAAACATGAAGTTATAAAGCAAGCGCAAAGCTAAAATAGAATTTCATTCACCGACTTAAAGAGACGCAGTTAAAAGTATTGTACAATATAAAAATATCGATAATTAAAAGCAAGAAAATAAATAAATATAGCAATTGATTTGAATTTTGTCGATATTTCCTTTATCATCTAGCCAAATATTTATGGGGGGGAGGGGTAAACGGAAAGAGGGTCCTACGCACGTTTCACGGACATCAAAAACTGGAAATAAGGAATCACGGTGATTAAAATTCCGTGTTTTCCCGGACTTAAATTTCTTTTTTACCCCCTCTTATACCAACTCCAGTGCTGCTACGGTTGAATACAGTGTATCCTTTATCCAGAGGACACCCTTGGGGCCGAGGCAAATGTCCCCTAAAATACAGCTCAATAGAGGTGCCCCTTGAATTGAGGTTGGGTTGGGGTTCGTTAAATATCCGCCAACAAAGAAATATATATCATTTTTTTCCTTATTTCTGCCTTTGAAGCTACTGCAGGTATAATTTCAAGTAGCTACTGACATGATTAACTTTAGCCTGCGCAGCACGTACGAGGTTATTTCTTCGCGTGTTTCCCTCGCGCGCTCTATTAAAACTAACCTACTATAGTAGGCGCCTGCTATTGAAACTACCCGGTAATATTGTTTGCGAATTCCCGTAAGCGCAGTACATCGAGTTAAGTATGGTGAAAGTTGTCATCATTGTGATGATTGTACACTTATCGACTCTCCTTAGGGTCAGCAGTCACGTTTTGAGTACTATGGTGTCCCCTGAATGGAGGTTAAACCTGGGTTTGGGGACCCGGAAAAAATGACCCTTTCCCCTGAATAGAAGTGCCCCTTCAATAGTAACCTGTGGTCGGGCTCTATTTTCGCTTCGCTTTGTAAATAACGTTCCGGCAGGCAAGGCGAAACGAAAAGAGAGCCCAGTTTTAGAGTGACGACGTAAGAGAAAATAAATGAGAACCACTAAAATTGGGCCTGATCTCGGGTTACTTAAGTAGAGGTAACAGATACAAATATTATGTCCCGGGACCAAATTTTGTGTCCCCTGAATGTTGGTGTCGCTTGGATAGATAAGTTCGAAAGGAGAGGCTCCCGTGATGAAGCAAGGTGTTGCGACGCAGTTGAATTACTACCTTTTCCAAACAGTCCCAAACAGCTTAGAATTTTATCTTCCAAAGGACGTAAACAGTTTTTTTAACATGCACTTACATGGCAGAGTCTTGTTGGCAATAAGGCCGAGCGGGCCTGGGAGTCCTGGGAAGAAATGTCAATGAAGGGGGTTGGAAATTAGTTCTTCCTCGTCCCGGAAATTGTGATTTTTCGTTTTTAGGGGGTTGAAATTTCACTTTCACAGAAAACGAAAGACGTTTGTCATGTTTTTTTAGGAACTTTTTGATTGCAATCACTTTGCTTCTTTGCTTTGTTACGTAAACAAAGAAGTTACATTGTCTTATCAAAAAACCCCGTCTGTGTACACAGAAGATGTCAGGGACTCCCAGTGAAAATCAGGTACTGAAAAACTACTCGATCATGATCACTCGTACGTAATGTTATATCCTACTTTTGCGTTTAAAATGCCTGAGTAAATTACGGACAAGAGGGTATGCATTAATTTCAGAAATATTTCGACCAGTTTTTATTGTTTCATATGTCCAACGACAGAGATAACATTTAACAATTATTTAATGGGGCTTATAGCATCATCTGAAGAATTATGGAGATCGAGGAGAGTGAATAACACCCCTGAGATCTCCATAATTCTTCAGATGATACGAAAGTCGAATTCAAGAATTGTTTTTTTATTCATTCAAAACAATTCCTAGTTTAAAAACAGGCTAAAACATGCTTACCTCCATCGATGTTAAGTTCGTGGGTTCATCTTCGATAGTCCACTTTAATCGGCAAGTTTAGGGGGTAAAGGGTCGTTTAGTTTCGCAAATATTCTCCAAATAGCAGATGTCGTCCTTCGAGTTGTCTTCTTGTTGTTCTCGCGAAGTTTTTAGCCAACAGTTCGCCTATTTCTTGCTGCTGGTGAAACGAGTGAAATGTTCCGCCATTTTTGTTCTCACTAGCCACCATTGCCACGATAACAATTCAACCTCGTCTCCAGGTCTTCTCGGTTAACGATTCAGTAGTCTGCCCTAATCTTCAACTTTGCTGCACTTTTAACGTCATCCGTTCAATATGGCAAAATTCTTTCAAATTTGGTCGACAGTAGCTGGTCATGATGCATTATGTGTCTGATTTTAGCTGTTTTGAATGAATACAAAATTTAATATTATTATTATAACATTAGTTTAGTTCCATCAATTTATATTACACATCATTCCTGTCCATATACCCCATACCCCCCGAGGGGGTTGAAATAAAATACCCGGGTTCAATAAAGGCTATCTTCACACTATAATGGAAAGCTTTTTGTGCCAACACAAAAAGCTATCTAGTGTAGTAATTGAACAGCAACAGCCTGGGACCCAGAGCAAGTTGTTCACACACATGTTTACACATGATCATGCTGGAGTAGTTGGCCAAGGGGGTTTCGGTGCACTACATTCAAATCCTCCAGTGGGTTCAAGTCTTCAATACAGTCTGAATACCTAATATTCACATTGCACCAAAGTGTGGCAAAGAACCTATCTAATATGTGATGCTTGTATCCACCTCGAGTTCACACAGCGGAGGAATCACATTACAGAAATCACACCAAAATCACTATTCTTATGTGAAGACTAGAGGCCCTATCTGGTATGGTTTTCGTGCTGGTGCAAATCAGCTGTCTGATATAGTGTGAATATTGCCAAAGCTCACGTAGGGTGCATTCGATTGGGAAATCAGGATTCAGATTTTGAAACTCGCATGAATTTCAAAACACAAAAAACAAAAAAATCCATCCTCAAGGTGGATTTCAATATTCTTAGAAATATCCAATTCTGGATTTCTTGGATTCTTTCTTTAGATGTTTTGGGGAATCCAGAAAGGATTTTCAAAACTGTTTGCATGAACATCTGTCTTTTTTTCTGCTTACTATAATGTGGACATGCAAGACAGCTGCTGTCCTTGTGAACACTTACGTTTTTGAAATCCTTTTTCAGATTTCCCCCAAAAAATGTAATAAAGGAAATCCAGGGACAGATCTTTTTGTGTTAATAATTGGATATTTTTGTGTTTAAATGAAAATCTGAAATCTGGCTTCTAAAATCGAAACCAACATTCCCAATTGAATGCACCCTTAATAACTCCTCTGTAAATCTGTCCTATTATTTATCCTAGAATTAACCTCCCCCTGGATTTTACCTGTTTTTAAGAACTCAGCATTACTTTTTGAAACAATTAAACAAACTAGAAACAGCTTTATTTTGAATTATAAGAAAAGCCATAGATACTCTCTCCTTTTTCAGTATTTGTTTTAAAGTTAATTAATGAAAAGAGTGTGCTTGTTATCTAATAGATGGCTCCTGAGAAACGTGCATTTTTGATTGGCCCAAGTTATGCATCATTTGTTAAACCTCCCCTTGAAGGTGTGTGCAATGATCTGCACATTATGAAAG